TTGTGCATACAGCCTTTGTATTTCCACACAGAACTGTTTGGTGCAGTAAGACCCGGCCATCTACTCAGTCTCCTTCTCCTGCCTTTTCTTTTCTTTCCCTATTATTTTCTCTAACATTTTCATGTGTTGAAACAGAGTCAGGTGACTGAAGGAGCTAAATATCTGGGGAAAGGCAGCAAGAGTGGTTGTTGGAGGAAATTCTTGACTGGCACAAAGCTCAGCTTAGACCGCATTGTGCAAAGCTCCATCAGCAAGGGAGCAAATGCTGAAAACCCAGATAGATAATCTATCTTTCAAATTATTATAATTATCCTACTCACACTTCCTGGAAGCTATTAGTATTGGTAACTCTTAATTGCTCATCTTTCTGCAGTACCAGATTTCACTTACCTGAAGCAATTCTCACTCGTCCTTGATGCAGACATGCCCACAAATTTGTATCAGGTTTAGAAATAGCTTGGTAGACTCTGTTTACAGTACTCCTCTTACTTATTCTCAATTTACATAGGATTTGCAAATTCTGAATTTTGCCTTGAATTTTTATTTCATATGGCCTTAGAATGCAGCTGAAAGCTGAAGTTTTGCTTGATTTTAAGTCATAACCAAAGAAGAGTTTTGGGGTGTTTTTAGTGTGTATTTGCATGCTTCCAAACAATATTCTTATTTGTCTTTGCCTCAAATATTGGCCTCAGCTTGCTTGAAACCAAAGGTCTGACCATTTACTGGAAAACCAGCTGTGTGCTTATTTAAAATTCAGTCTGAACTTGCTTGAAATCTGGTTCCAGTTCCTTTTGAAACCTGGCTTGGGACTCCCAAGTTCTTAAACTATGAAAACCCTTTCAGGGCACTGGCCTGGTTTTGCATGCTAAACATGGGGGTTGTACCTGTGTTTAAAATTCAAATATATTCTCCTACTTAGGTGGACATAATTTTGGAGCCCATTGAAATTCTGGGTTCCATTATAGGCTGATTCAATATAGACTGAACACTTTTAGAGCCACCATCCTCAAACATCCATACACATAATTTCAAATACAGTGGAATCAGTCACTCGCTTAAAATTAAGCACGTTTGCAGATTATAGAGCATGACAGTGTGATTTGTCCCATTGCAGTGAAGCTCACAGTTTGAGATTCAAGCCCAACTCCAGACATGCTGGCACAGCAACAAGCACAGGTCACTGCATCAGGCATGCCGCACCGCACCACCATGGTGCCCCATGCTGCCAACCAGCTCAGGATACCCAGCGAGGCAGTGGCGGGGGCTACAGGTTGGCTCATTACAGGTCCACGCACTGCACCCTTGCACCATACTGATACATCCACAGTCCCCCACAAAGTTTAAATGCCATACAGGCCCACTTTGACTTTCTCTTAATTATAGGGGTTTTCACTTTTTTTCCTCAAGCTGCAGACCAAATCAGGAGAGATGTTCTCTTTGCTCATTGAGTGTTTTTGTAGCCACCACTTTGATGAAAAAATAACATGAAGGACAGTATTTCATCGTTTTAGCTGCTTTGATTCATTAAAGGATATGCTCAGTGTGAATAATATCACCCTTAATCAGCCTAGCCCTTGCACACACTTCAAAATATCTTGAAGTTAAATCTGTGCTGAAGTAAGACCTTTGTAAAGTTTAGCAGCCGAACAAGAAAGGCAATCTAGCTGTGTCGACATAATCGAGTATTCCAGCGAGGACTGTGAGACGTAAAAGAGGTTTGGAAATCCAGTGTCTTCACAACAGATGGGCTATTCAGCATATTAGTAAATTTAAGCTATTGGATTTTGTAGTAGTTACATCAGTCCTTTCACCAATATTGAAATATTCTCCAGTATTGAAGGAATTCATACTAGTCACTTCCAATCTCAAGACACAAAAAAGTGAAGATAAACATTCATCAGAAAATTTATTTCACGAGTGTTTTATTTGAATTTATATAATATCCACAAAAATAGAAACAGTCTTTAGAACCAGTTTGTGATACATAGTCTCCAAGCTGAGATTTACAATGGCAATAGTGAAATATCTAATGCGGATTTGTCTCCACATGTATACATTGAAGATGATGCTGTGAGAAGCAAGCAGGAATTATGCAGTGTGCTGCAGAAAGAAAGATGAAAATGTAACTAAACATTTTAATGTCTGTGTAGTTCATCAGCCTACATGCAGTTTCTCAGGATGTTTTTAGAGTAAGTTGCTCTAATTTTGTGCAGAAAATATACTTTGAGAGTGCTCATGCCAACACCTTTGACATTGTGATTTGCGTGTAACTATATAAATATAATATACTTTCCTATCTAGAGCTTTGTACATATGAAAAATTATGGTACAATAAAAATCTATACACATGGTGCTACCAGTTCAGCAGCTGCTAACTTAAAGGATACATCTAAAAATATGATTGCTCAGCCTCTGAAATATAAAATAAAAGAGCAATCAGAAATGCTTTTTGTTTAAATAGTAATTTACATAAACATTCATCTCTTCATTTTCTCCATTTGCTTAGGTCTGGTGAAAAGAATCCCTTTGATTGGCTGCATCTGTCCTTGGCAAGAACTGTAGTTTTAAACAGTCCTTTGTGTTTGTTTTAGGCAAAGGTTAATATATTTGTAAAACAGAGTAAATGTTGGCTGGCTTCTATTCCAACTTTGTGCTACTGTAATGCTGAATGACAAATACCTAGTCTGAAAAGTTCTGCAGAGTGGGAATAGAAATTTGCACAATTTCAATGTGCTGAAAGACTTGACAGTGGAAGACTGTCATTTGTACTGCACCCCAGTGTAAATCACTCTCTAGATTTATACAGAATTCGTCTAAATAAAGCTTTATCTTTCAAAACCTTTAAAAGCAGGTTTAGCTGCTGCTCAGTAACCAAGTGGTGACACGTGTATATCACAAGTTCAGTTGAGAGATCTGGTAGAAAGCAGCTTTATGAAGACATTACAGTCAGTTGCTGTAAGATGTATGTTAACCTGAGATAAGGCACAACAGTATTGCAGATTTGTGATGGTACCACTGATTTCAGATTTTCACCCAAGGTGTGGATTGGGGGGGGCAGGGAAGGAGGAGGGTGAAGAGCATGGAGCAAAGGGCTGCAAATAACTGTGGGGTGGGGGGAAGGAATGGTCTTTGGAGCAAAGTGAAGGTGCTCTCCTCCTCTGGTGGCCTGATTCTTGTTATATGAACTACAAAATGATGGTAAAGCAAGTGGAATGTAGCTAATCAAACTGAGAAAAGGAAATTATTGAGTTGCGCAAAAGCAAGCAAGGCTAGCACAGTCAAAAAAAAAAAAAAAAGAAAAGAGAGAGAGACTGAGAGAAACAAAATGCTTTGAAGTACAGAGCCTTGTTATTTGATTTGTAAATAAGATGAATCTCTCTCCACCCAGGTTATGAAAAGTAAAAATTGTCATGTATGGGTAATTGATGGTGACAGCTCTGGCATACACAGTGTCGGAGGTGGTGTTATTGTTTGACATGCCCTACATGTATAGATAACAAGTTAGGCTCTCATGTTTGCCTATAAATTGTTGCTAAGCACATTTGATACTTCTGTTGTCTCTTGGTTTCATCTCTATTTACTTTTAAGACAAACAAAAAATGGAATATCCTACAACCTCCATCTGCACCTTGCTGCATTTCAAGTTAATATGGATTCAAATCCAGGGGACACCTGATGAAATGGATATTGGATGGATTTAATATTCGGGGGTTTTTTTTTTTTTTTTTTTTTTTGTCCTGGACTTGTCAGCCCCTGTTATTGTTTTCCAAATTCCCCATCCCTGAAAAAGTGAGTTGGAATCGATCTTGGTTTCACCTCTGTTAACATCACCGAGAAAATCCTGTTTCTCAACTCCCACATCTCACATACTCAGTGACCTGGTGAAGTGCTGCCTCCTCCAGTTTTTATTTCCCCATGTTCTGCATGCACCTGGTGCCAGTAGGAAGCATTTGTGACTTGGAGAAAGAAAAAGCTGCCAATGAACGTTCAGTCTCCGCATAGCACTGCTAGAGATGAGCCGTCAGATCTGAATGTCCCCAAAATCTCAGTGTCTTTATGTTGGTGGGTTTTTCTGCAAATAAGAATCCCAAGCACAGTTGACAAATACAAATAAAATATGGAGTTGAAAAAAGCAAAGGGAACTAATATTTTACGCGCAATGGAGCTTTGCATTTTTCAAAGGTTTTTTGAAAGTGAGACTTGACCTGCCAGGAGGACCATACGACTTGAAGGAACTGGGGAGACTGCTCCCTCATGCTATGGGATTAATATATGTTCTGCTTGCCCACCTCATCACTGCTTCATATTGCATGGATTTGAATGCTTTAATTAGGAATATAACAGGGTGGGAGGAGTATTAATATTTCTACTGGAAAAATGGTACCTTTTAGTAAGTTTGCCCAGTCAGAAAACAATCATCTTCCTTCAATAGCTTTTGGTCCCTGAGATTGACTCTCTTACTGCAGTTCACCTCAAAGATGTTAGTTAAAAACAAATAGCCCTTTTCCTGGGACGAGCTGAATGCCCTTTGGAGATTAGGGAGGATTCTCTGTACCAGGGAAGGTCACGTCCTAAACTTCTGCCTACAAAAGAAGGTCTGAGTGGTGGAGGTAGTATGGGTTCTCCAAATAAATGCTGACAGCCACCTTGCAGAGCCACTGCTCTCTGCAGCTGCGATAATCTAACTGAAGAGGAACCCACTGTCTGATTCAACAAAAGAAACTGGAAGCCAACAAAGTGTTAAAACACTCAGAAATCAGAGGAGGGAAGGAACAAGTGATATTGGCCAATGAAAGCTATAAACCAGCTGACTATGGAAGAAGACTACTTGGCTCAGAGATGCTTCACTGTTTCCTCCACTTATAGTTGCCTTCCAAAGTAGATTATCATACTCCCTAAATGCCCTAGTATTTCGCTCCTTCCCTTTCTTTGCATGACTCATAAATCACATTATGCCTGTATGATTTTAAAAAAAAAAAGATAAAAACTTCACAAGAAGGGAAAAATAATCATAATTCTATAATGTTATCTTATATCACAGAAAACTGTGTACATTTTTTCCCCATACAGGACATACTTCAAATAAAATAATTTTAACACCAATAATGACAATGTTCCTTCTTCCCGACAGAAGTAGAATTGGTTTTTCACCCCAGTTTGGTACATAAATATAAGAAAATAGTCTTTGAATATTTACATCCAGGTGTTTTAAATGTTATTTCTTGCCATATTTAATTCTCATTTTCTCTCCAGCCACGGGCATTCTTTCCAAATTTATATACTAATCTCCGACCATCCACACGCTCCAGGATTTCTCTTTTATAATAGTATCTGTTAAAATAAAAACATAGAAAAAGATTTAAGATTAAATTCATGTACAGTCCTAAAAGACCACTGCCAACTAGTAATCCCTCAGCTAACTGAAAAGTCTTTATTTGCTATTGATATATATATAATACCGAAAATTATTATAACAGAAAGACAGAGAAGAAAAAATTGATGTCTTCTTTTTACTGTCTATTAATTATAATCTGAGTTCGAATTTCACCATATTTCAGGTGATAGCATATTGGCATATTTATCACACACTCATGAGATTCTGTGGGGGGCGGGGTCCAGATAAGCCGGGATCTGAAATCAGACCAGGAAAGAATCTCAGCTTCCATTTAAAGATGCAAAAAACTTTCATAGATTTTGGAAAAATACTCAAAATGTTAAAGCAAAGAGCAAAGAAAATCCTCACATAGAATTTGTAAACCTATTTTAAGATAATGGGGGGATGTGTATGTCTAGTTTCTGAACACTGCTGGAAATAACGAGGTCTTTGGCCATTACTGGGCCATTTAAGCCTTCCCAGTTCAGTAGCATGTGAACTTTCATCTTGCTACAACCATGTTTCCTTCCTACATTGGTTGTTTGGGTGGACAGCAACAGCATGTGTATTATATATGTAACACATATGTATGTTTTAGATATTATATATTTCATATTATACAGAAATAGGAGGGGAAAGAAAAGACAAAGAAGAACATAATGTTAAAATCTCAAAATTAGTGTGGGAGACTCAGCTGTCAAAGAAAGCAACTGGTGCTGCTGACAATTCATTTTTAAAAGTAAACCAGATTCTTCATTCAGGTAGTCTCTTTAAGTGCCCCAGTCCTCTACAGCAACATCTCTGCTCACCTCATAGCCCGGCTGAGTTTCTCATAAGTCATGCTGCTGTTGTTTTTCTTCTTTCCCCAGAGCTGAGCCACAGCTTCAGATTTTAAAAATCTGAAGACACCTTCTGACCGGTCTTCCCACTTGATTAATCCTGGGTTTTTCTCGGGATTGAGAAGAATATCTCGAATAAATTCCCAAAGATGAGTTCCTCGAGGGTCTGAAAGAGGAAAGGGGGCAGTAGGAAGGAGTATCTAAAGAGCTCTCCTGGCTATGTTTGCCATTTTTATGTCATGTTCTTGCAGTGTGTCATCTACAGATGGTGACCACTCGGCAGGGACAAGCCACAGTTCCTGGAGCGCAGGACCCCCACCTCAGAGATATATAGGCAAAAGGCAAAAACCACTGACAGCCTTTACACTGAGGCTGGAGGTGAGTGTCAGCCTTCGGCAGTCTGAGCCCTGTGGCAGGCAGGTAGGAGCCCCAGCAACCAGGGGAAGCAGAGGCCAAACCACCCATTGCTTCCTTCTGCCTTTGGCACTGTTTCTGCCCTTAAGATAACATGTTTAAGTCTTCCCCTCATCTCATTTGCCCATTTTTCCTGATATTCTTCCGCAGCATGGCATGTAACCTGATATTATCGTGCAGTACGTGAAACAGCCAAGATAATTGTGAAGCAGATACTGAATCTCCACGCATTTAAAAGACAGAGAGAAGGCAAAGGAGGTGAAATGCTGTTCTGCATCAATGAGTATTTGGTCCCAGGTCTCTTGGATAGATAGACTTAAGTAAGAAGGTGTAGAGTGGATAGAAGGTTAGTGACAAAACTGGCTAGCCAAAATTGTATGTGAAAAGGGTATAAAAAGTTTGACTGTGATATCAGAAAAGGCAAAAACAGATCTCTCAGTTCAACACGTAGACCTCCCTCTTTAAGCACAAATCCATCCCACCGTTCCTGCAGAGATGGCATCAGAAAGCCCAGGTCAAAAAGAAAAAAAGATTAAATAAATCCAACAAGTCAGATGTAGTAGTTTAGGAATGAAGAATAACAAACACAGTGACACGGTGGGCCAGAAAGATAGCAGTCCTTTGGTCTGACTTCAAAAGAATGCAAGGGTTTAGGCCAAATTAAGAAGGAAACAAGCTAGTCAAAGATATGAAGGTAAATAGAAAAGGGTATAGAGTGCAACATGAGTAGAAGTAGATTTCAGTCAACTAATCCAATATTTTTAATTGTTATTATAAATTTTTTCTAGAACTAACAAACTGTGGTGGACCCAGTCTATCTGGACATCAGTAACATACTCAATAGATCATGATACAGAGCAGTACTGAAGAAACTGGAAATGTAGCCTATTAGCCCAGCATGGCAAGGTGACCTTTTCTGTATGCCAAGGCTGTGATTGAGTTCTTAGAATCACAGAATATCTCAAGTTGGAAGGGACTCATAAGGATCATCGAATCCAACTCCCTGCTTCTCACAGGACTACCTAAAACTAAACCATATGACTAAGAGCTTCATCTAGACGCTCCTTGAACTCTGACAGGCTTGGTGCTCTGACTACTTCCCTGGGGAGCCTGTTCCAGTGACTGACCACTCTCTCAGTGAAGAACCTTTTCCTAATGTCCAATCTGAACCTCCCCTGATGCAGACTCATTGCATTTCCTCGTGTCCTATTGCTGGTCACCACAGAGAGGAGATCAGCACCTTCTGCTCTGCTGCCCTCCTTGAGGAAGTTGTAGACTGCGATGAGGTCACCCCTCAGCCTTCTCTTCTCCAAACTGAACACACCAAGTGACCTCAGTTCTTCACAGGTCTGTCTTCAGACCAGTCCTATCTAATCCTTTCATTAGCAACCTTGATATACGCACAAAAAAAGAAACAAAATATCTGTGTGCAGATAAAAAGTTCTGGAGTTCTGGTTGGGCAAAGTGACAGAGCAGGGTAAGAAGAGGAGTCAGGAAGAGACAGATAATCTGGACACCATATTGAAACAGGATGAAATAAAATACTACAAAATGCAGTGAAGGACCAATATTAAGGTTTTCTATTATAAATAGGGAATGACACAGGATGCAAAAGACATACAGAAGATATTTTGAGCATAAATATCTCAGTAAAGTACATTAATGGAACTATGTCCAGAAATCACAATTATGGTAACCTGTCTTCAGAGTCAGATTGAATCAAAACTAGCAGAAAAAGCAGATGAGGGGAGTGGAAAGATTGTCATACCAGAGGAGAAGAAGGTGACAGGATTGAGGGGCAGATGCTTGCTAGTGACGCCGTGCATGAGAAGTTCTGCAAGGAGATGCTGAGCAGGGTCTCTGGTGCATGCTGCACCCAGCAGGCATGGGCACAAGCATGGCCATGGCCACGCACAGACCTTCCTGATTGAATCCTGGGTCTCCTTCATCATTCCTTTACTCCAGTCAACCAGCCCAGCTCACCATAGGGCAGAGGCAACTGGTTTCTGGTTGCTTCCCCATAAGCCCTCACAGATAAAAACAATTTGAAAAGCATAACAATACTGAGTCAAAAATAACGTAAGCAAACAGTACTAGAAACAGTCAGATCCTTGGAGGATTCAATCACAGTAACAATCTAACCAGTTTTGCTTTCAAAATGCTTCCTTTTCCCTCCTGAAGGGGTTTTGTTTTTAATGTGTTTCTTTTCCTTCGATCACCAACCATTATAAACATGTATGTTGACTTACTGTGCTTCTTGGTGTGGGACTTTGGGGTATGATCTTGCGATTTTTTCACATCTGAAGAATCTGAAGAGAAGGAAAATTAAGCCTATTTGTAAATTTGATTAAAGGCTTTCCATTGACTAGCAGGTTGAAAGAAATAAAACCACAAAAAAGAACGAGTATCTCTTTTAAAGATAATCGCTTTTCAAAAGGTAATCTAAGTGAGGAGGAAGGGGGAGAGTTTTGTTTTCTGTACTATATGTTAATCAGCACACTTCACAAAGAGACCATTGATGAATAAAGAATGAACGCAGAGGTAAACATTTGGCTTTTGAAACCTAAATTTGATTAACAAATACCTCACCTCATGTTATGTGTGAGAGAGAGAAAAATAAGACGATCACGTCTATAAAAGGAATCCTGAATTGTCCCATTATGTCTTAGTCTTTGCAGTAGCATGTATCTTTGGGGGCTTATTTGTTTCTGAAGAGATGATCTAATGTGAAATGTATGCACTGGTACCAATGCACAGAACACCTACCTGACTAAAACATAATGAACTGGCAAAGTGTTGTTGGTTGGGGGGGCAGGGTGGGGGAACAAGGCTGTGCTGGTAGGAGTTTTTGGCAGCTGGACATGAATATATTGTTCCGTGGCTCAGAGCCATAGAAACAAGCCATTTCTCATCGATGGTACTTTATCACCTGCAGCCAGCCAGAGGAGGAATAGGGTTTCTGGCACAAGCGTTTCTTCAGAAATGAAGAAAAAGGAAAGTTCCGTCTGTTCATGACTGTAACCTACCTCGCAGTCTGCACATTCAACCCTCCCGCCCTCAAACCACCACAGCCTGGCTCAGCTCTTGTCATTAATGAATAGTTTTCATCTGATCACTCTAAGTCTTGCAAAATCTGTGGGATAGCCCTGAGAGGGAGCCCCTTCTGTGTTTGCTTTTCGGCATACTTTATGCCTGAATTCCATAAAGCAAAACTTAAGGTCCCACGCACGTTTTCCCAGCTTCTATGAATGCACGATTATCATACTTTTCATGAAAACCGGGCATTTGCATGGGAAAATGACTCACAGGAAATATTCATTTGCATAGAAACTTGTCAGATTTGCACAAGCAACTGCAATAACTGCATGTGAAAAGGTAGATGCAAAGCTATTCACACACTGGCTTTATTCATATATAACTGGAAACATAAACTGAACAGGTCAGTGAGGATAAGCCTAATCTCCACTATTCTGAGCCTGACATAATTATTATCCTTGACCCCCAAGCAGCAAACACGCTCTGAGTCATCTTGCCTTCAGACTCTCAAAGGCAGGAACTAGCCTGAATCTCACTCAGCTTGGGGGAAAAAAGTAAAATGAGGCTCATTTCACTGCCTTTCCTCAGATTATGATTCCCCTGATGTTATTAAAAGCCTGTGGGAACTCCAGGCGAGGACAGCAGGACCCAGTCCTTTATTTTGCCTCTTTTATAAATCCTCCTCATTTTAAAATCCCACAATTCGCTTGCAAATATTTATGCTCCACTTAGCTGGAGATTTATTCTTGGAAGTTCAGTCACCTTCTGCCTAGCTGGTGATTTATTCTGGATTTCAGCTGTGTAAATAGCCTCCCGCTCTGCCTCCACTCCTACGTGGAGACCGGTTTCAAACATGCCATGTTAGAAGGCTGGGGCCTGGCAGATGAAAAGAGTTATGATGCAGTTTCAACAAAGCTGTCTTGCAAAACTTTTGACAAAAGGTTGCACAGTATTTGCATATGATTCAGGAATGAGCCGTTTTTTTACGGGATATACAAATTTAGTTTTTACAGGAGGCTGTGCCCTTGGTGTGCCACCCTAGCTCTAGGCTTAAGCAGTCAGCAGGTAAAACACACCATGCCAGGATCTTGACAGGTCCCCAGTCCTGTCAGAGAGCACCGAAATCCTGGTAGCCATCTTGTGAGAGTGGGTGGAGGTGGCGCAGAAAGCAAACAGTGTTTGATTGTGTTTTTTTAAGATTTGGTGGTTTTATTCTCCTGGTCAGGTTTTCTCTCTTTTTTTTTTTTTCATTTATTGCTGAGTGCATTAATTTAAACTGTATGTCACTTGGCAAGTCCGACTGTGCTGGGAGGCTGGGGGATGCAGCAAACGGGCAGGCACAGAGGCTGTGACTGCCACCCATGTGCAGAGGCACAGGGTTGCCCCCAGTGCAGAGGTAGCACCTGTGAGGCTGCATCTACAGCAGTGTGCTTTCCTTTCTCATCCTCCCATGACTTCCACTGCTTTCTCCCTCAGGTCTGTTTGCTTAACAGCCTCCTAAGAAGGACTTGCCTTTCTTTCCTGCATGTCTCACTCTTCTGCCATCTCTGCTCTCCTCTTTTCCCACTGTCTTGCTCTCTCACCTCCACCCCTGGTGCATGCCCCCGGGACATGGCCCACGGAGCGCTGCGACACGTGTGCCCGGACTGCACTTTTGTCGGGCACTACGGCAAACGGGTTTGCTGTTTCTCCTGCCCTTTAGCAGGCAGATTGTATCTCTGCTTCGTGGAAGCACTGTGGAGGGGTGAAGAGGCGTGCAGTGCCTTCCTTGCTGTCAGGTGAGTCGGGTTCCCATAGGAAGCCCTCCTGCTGGTGCAGTTGGGCAGAGGGCTTGGTGCCTGCCCTATGGCTCCCCCAGAACCAACCCCAAACCTAGCATGCTAATCAGCATGAACCACTGCTCACTAGGGAAACGCAGCCCCTTCTGGGGAGGAACATGGCACTTGTTTGCCCATACCCAGCTATACCACAGAAAAGTGTGGTGGAGCTGGAACATCTCGTCTCTCTGACACTAACATCTTCCCCTTTGACTCAGTCACATTAAAAGATATGTGGAGATTGCAGGTTATTTGATCTTCTTTGTCTTGACAGAGAGAAGAAAAAAGCATTTCTTTAAAGCAAGCTATTGTAATAATGCTAACTGAAAGAGCTGTCAGAATCAGTATTGCTTGGTTTAAAATTACTTAAGCTCAGATTCAATCCTACAACAGAGACTATTATATGTTGGTAGCTCTGGGACAAGTGACAAACAATTAACAATATAATTACAAGTTCGTTACCAGGAGGCTGGTGACTAGGTGTCGTCATGGAAATCTGAGCACGACAGAATGTTTTACTGTCCAATAGCTCTGGGAATCAAAAAGAAGACATTTAAAGTAAGAGCCTCAGAAAATAATAAAACCATCTCAGAAATCCATGAAGTATTGTGATGTTAGTTACCTACTGTGCTACCATAGCCACTGTCATACAGGTAATTCTCTTCTTTCCAGGACACCATTAACGATGGATCTGAAGGTAAAGGACCAAAAGGAAAATCAGATCACTAAAAGAACATTTTTTGGCACAGAGGTGAATATCGAGCACCGAGGGAATAAGAAATGTGCAAAAAAAGAGCTGTGAAGGGAACCAAGAAGTGAAGGGGCTATGCACAAAATTTCCTTTCACTCAGATTATGAATCGGGTTTTGCATACTCAGGCAAATGTGCTTACACAAAACACTGACTTTTAGAAATAATGTAATAGGCTCTTCCTTTTCCTGGCTAATATATCATTTATGCCTGCCCTTGAAGGAGGTTTCCTGTGCCAGATCAACTCTAATTCTACCCAATCCAGTCCTGAATTCTCAGCCCCTGGTGATTATGACAGTGCTTTGGTGCCATAGAGATTAAAGTGTTCTCAAATATCTAGTAAAACAGGAGGATGCTTATAATGAGTATTTATTTCTACAATGGTAGAACTCGAAAGTCCCCTCTGAAACAGAGCTTCATGTGTAAGCACATAGAGAGAAACATCAAAGTCTAATCTTAGATGAAGGCCCATTTTATTCCAGGCACGTCAAGTCCCCATCCTTAACCTAAAATGACCTTCATGATTGAAGATGGATGATTTTTAGTGACCTTCTGGTCAGATGGATCAATATAAGCAGAACAGAAGTATTGTCTTTATGACCTGTATATTGATCAGGAAATTACTCTCTTCACAGTGCATCTTTGAGGTCAGAAGCCTTAAAAATCTCTTTTTCTTTTGAATCCAGGTCAGAAAGGATGAGATGTAAGGTTCAAATCTAGGTTTTACTTAATTTTTTTCATGTTCATATAAATGAAATTCAAAAAAAACAAAAATGAGTTATAGCTAAATCATCATGTTTGGCTGAGTTACCACTTATGACATAGGAATTTAGCAGACATGCTAAGTAATAGCTGCAAGTTTGGGCACCCAGAGCTTGTGTTCCTACAATAGCACACACCCTTTGCTTGCTTGGACACCTGATCTGCCTAATGTTGCCTCTGAAAACAGGTCTTACCTAGCCAGAACATGGGGAGACAGCTTGTCTTCCCATTTTGGCCTTTTTCAATACCCACGTCTTTGCAACTGTGACGGTCTACTAAGATGAGGCAGGCTTCCCCTCTAAACCACCAGCCCCGTCCCTGCTGGCTCACAAGGAGTCCCTTCCTCAGCAGCCCCAATCTGCACCGCCTGCTCCTCCCCATGCAGAAACTAAACCCACTTCCACTGCCCACGGTCGGCATCACCAGAGCCCCCCCACGCCACTCTTGATTCAGCACAGCCAGGACAACCATCAGTTAGTCCTGGGCTTTGATCTTTCCAAGATGTGCAGCTGAGGTACTTTGCACTGCACTGTGTATCTCTAGTGGGAGGAGGAAGAGATATTATACCAAGATCTCATAAATCAGGACTTAAAGGATTACTGTAGTTTCCTATATGGCAAGCATGGAGGCTGCTGCATGCACATCACCCGCACAACGCGGGCACAGGCAAGAAGTGGATTGCAGATTGCAATGCTTGCCTGCTGCAAGGAGAAAGTGAATAGTGTCCCTGGCTAGAGAGGCTGGGCTCCTCCAGGTTAGCTGAATAAACAGGCTGGCAGTATTTGTTGGAGACATCACATGCTACGAATCTGTATTCATTCTGCTAGGAGATACTAAAACGTGGCTCATGAACACACCCACATACAAAGAGGCTGGGACTAGTGGGATAGAGAGTGTTTGTATACAGACAGAGGTGCTCTGGCAAAGGAACCAGCTAAATAATAGTGCCTGAAGAGGAGGATCAAACCAAGCTGAAGTTCTTTTCTCAGTGAAAAAAAGGCCTGAGAAGAAAGGGATCTAGCTATGAACACACTAGAAAAAAAGACTGCCACAGGAAAAATGCAGATTTGGTCAAACCAAAATACTACTTGAATTTCAGTTTCATTGAAACATGTGAAGAAATGGAAATGTAACATTTTTTCTCTAAAAGTTCTTTTGAATTTCCTTATGTTTCAAACATTAACAGCACTTCACAACAAAATATTTTTTCTGTCTTTTTTTTAAACTGAGAATACTATGAAAATAGTTGTTTGAAATCTGCTGAATGAAGCATAGAATGAAGTCCTCTACAAAGCTGCACTCCCTGAGCACTGCAAACTATTCCAACCCTGAACATCAGTATAGACTGCTGATACTGCAGACGTCTCCCAGGAAAAGTGGCCACATGCAAACTAAGATATGGTGGTACTACTCGAAACTTCAAAAAGTAGACATTAACTGATAATTTGTGTTACTTCTTTTATTCTGCATGATACACTTTCCATTTTATTTAATGCCATTTTGATATCTCTCTTTTGGAATGGACAGTTTCTCCTTTTTGTCACCATGAAAAGACAAGTTACCCAACTGTTACTCACCTGTTTGTTCTGTCTTCACAATGACATTATGAGGTTGATACATGTCACTTCCACACTGGCCTGCAAGAAAGCAGATAGGACATATGACAACAAGCACAGGAGGATCAAAGGTATTAGCTCCAAGCAGCATCTGCTACAACTGAGCCAGAGGGCTAATTCTGCAGTGGGAAACATACCCTTTCCCCTGGTCCTTCAGATTTTTACCTTATGTCATATCTAAGCAATTTAGCAATACAGTGAATGAGGTATAAGCAGTATAGCAAACGTAGCAAATGAGATCTGCCAGGTAGGTCTCTGGGAAACGTAAGCAATTTCTGAAGATCCCAGAATTCAGACCACTGCACGTGCGTCTCTGCCTAATATCTATTTACCATTCCACTTTAGGTGCTGAAGATTGCTGTAAAGCAGTTGCCCTGCTGTCCCAGCTGCCTGAGTGAATTCCTGCAGGCTCATACTGCACAGATGTTCCCCGTTGATATCAAACTCCTGGAAGGGTATGCAGTTGGCATCCAGTTGGTTGGTATCAAGGAGATGCTGCAGCCACTCCCAGACCTGAAACTTAGTCCAGTACTGCGGGTGTATTTCGTGCCACTGGGTTCCATAGAAGCTGCTGGACACTGGAAAAGAAAATAGGTATTTACTGTCTCTGTTAACACCACAGGATTATGTCGACCACAAGAAAGGTCTGTAGCTAAATTGCGTGCCCTGGAAGTCCACAGATCTAGATTCTTTTCTCAGTCCTTAACACTAGCTCAGTAGCTATTGCTGGAGAAGGTATTGGGGGTTTTTTTGCCTCAGTTTTCCAGTTAAAAACTGGGAACTATTACATTACACCTCTTTTGGCAGATTGAGTATGTAGGAATTAATTTATTAATGTTGGTTAAATACACCAAAATTCTTTGATGGCAGATACCTTACAGAAGTACTATTGAAAAGGTATGTTGATCCTTGTGTGGGAAAATAATTTTAGTGCATCAGAAAATGACAGGAAAGCCTTGCAAAATTCTCATAATGTGATGTGGAAATTTTCTTTTAGTAAGGACTTAATAAGGACTGAATATGAATTGTGTGATTCAAACAAAGAATGGTAAAAGCCAAGGCACTCTTATATTGTTCCATAGTAAAAGCCTATCAGTATGGCCCACAGCTTCATGATAGAGCTCGCATTCTGATAAATGCACATAATTTCTGCAGTCAGGTAAGGTGATTTCTGAATGCAGTGGTAAAACTCACTTTTAGTTATGGAAGCTGCCTAATTTTCTTGTTAGGATGTCTGAATCTTTTCTTGGCAATCTTTTAAACTGCTCTCAGTTGTATGTCATTGCACGACAATAATTTACATGTGCAAATGAAAGAAATTTTATGTGGGGATAGGATAATTATGCAAGATAAGAGCAAAGGCAGGACTGCTTTAGTCTGCCCTCACAGAAGGTCTGGCTAAAGGAGTTCAGTGCAATTTATTCCTTGGGAAAGGAGGTCAATGGAGTATGCCAGGCAGAGATGGAGGCATGATAAAATGCTCACAAGCGCATGAAGGGTTTAAGGATAAGGGAATGAGAGATTGCACAGGTGGTTGAACTTCGGGAGAAGGAAAGACTGCCATGGCCTAGCTCTACAGCAGCCCCACTCCAGGATGTGGCACCAGTCTGTTCTCAGGCTCCCCAAGAAAAAGATTACCCACACAGCTGTGAGAAATACTGACAACAGTGGGTATTGGTAGAGGACCACAAGCAACAGTTAGGATTTTAGGAAATCACTGCCCCTCAGGTCCCACTAGACCTCAGGTCTCTTTGGTTGAGATACAGTGCACAATGCCAGTTTCCAGGTAAACACAAAAAAGCCCCACAGTTATTTAGGTTTCTTTATCAATATTGTGCAACAAGGTCTGTGTCAGTAACTTAGGGATTTTGCAGGACTGTTTCTCATCCTCTTGTTGAAGGATTTGGGGAATGAGTGTGGAAATGATTGAGTGTGGTATGTCAGAGAATAAAGGTTTGATGGAGCCGTCAAGTATTCCCTGAAAAGGAGGTTGATACATCTTCCCATCACTTCAGAAGGGTAAAGGAATTTCAGAGGCCACTAGACTCCTAATGTAAATGGAGAGCCTTTAGTGACAGGAAGGAGTAGCTAGGTAAAAGGAAGTGAAGTGGCGAACGATTGTAGAGGCTGGTGTGAGCTTTTGGCTTCCTGTCCCTCCAAAATATAAGTGAATCCTGCAGAGTTTCACACTGGAAACATGAAAACAGACCCCGCTGTTTCCCTTCATGAAATCCTGTGCAAAGTGAAACTCAGCCAGGACTTTTTTCCCCATGAAGCTATTGCAGACAGGTCGGCACATTTATTAAGTGCATGCTTATGTATTCCTATGTATTTAGAAATTACACATAAAAAAGAACAAGATTTTCATTGCTTGGGAACTTTCATTGTAAGTTTTGTTGCAGCATTATTTGGATTAGAAGGACAACAGCAGTATGTGTTTGCTTAGATTTTAAGGTTTATCCATCAACTGAGTGATGAAAAGAATTTAAAAACTGTATCAAACACTATATATATAAATATGTCTATATATATATTTTTATACTGAGAGAGAATATATATATGAACACATTTTTATATATACATATATACATATAATCAGAAAACAGTAAGAAAAAAGAAAAGTTCTCAGATCACAGGCTACCTAGTGCTCTAATGCCAGTCTAATTAGAAAGCTATCTAGTAATTTGAGCTGAAAAAGCATATACAGTAAAGGAGCAAAAAGACTATTCCCCTGGAAAGCCAAAAGGGTGATTAGCGTTGAACAGTAATGTTGGTTCAGAGAAGGTGTAAGGGGTAAAGGTAAGAGAGAAAGTATGCTGGACTGAGGAGAGGGAACTTCTGGCACTTTCAACACCACTAAATTCATTTTAAGAAAAAGAACCAGTAAGGAAATGCACCATAAACTGGCCACTTTCAGAAACTTAGTGTTGCGAGTTCAGCTTCTTACAAATAAAGTAACAAATGGAAATTTTTCTTACCGGAAGTGAAACTCCAGTAAATTAGTATTACTGAAAAATAATACTTGTACATGCTTAAAGGTGTGGTAGCCCCTTGCCCTGTGCCTTCCCCGAAAAAACATGGCTCAGAGCCGTTGAATTTCTCCTACCATTGCATGTGGAATATCCATCTGTCCAGGAAGGCTGCTGGTGGAGTAGATTGCTGCTGGAATTGATACTCATTCTGCCAGCTCCTTCCAAAATCATGATCTGTAAGTGAATCGAACAGTTTGCTTAGTGAGTGGTATTTAGTCCAAGAGGTAAATGGCAAAAAAAAAAGAAAAAAAAAAAGAAGAAAAAAGTCCGCTGAAGGTGAAGTGAGGAAGCCAATTCCATTTGTAGAAGATACAATTGAAATCAAGAACATGTTGCCACAACCCCTTTTCCACTGCCACAAAATCTCCTTATGATAAACATTACCATGATTGCTTTGCATATGCAAGCAGCAAGTTTCTACAGCTGCCCATCCATAAATTAATAATCTGTAATCAGAAATGAAGCCGAATGAAAAGACAAGGCTCCTGACAGAGCAATACAGGAAAACTGCCAAGCTTTGAGAAATGAAATACTAAATGGTTTTACTTTTTTTTTTCCTAATTTAAAGAGAAATTTTGTTTAAACATGCTTTTCTTTTTTTCTTTTCTTTTTTTTAGGAGAGAGAAAAGACTTTTCAATAGTTGCAAATTAAACTATACAGTTGACAACAACCCATGTTCAGAAACTTCCTCACAAAGAAGGACCCACATGTTAATGCTCCAGGGAGGTAACATTACAGGCAATATCTTGTCAGCTGACCCAGTTTCTTATCTGATCTGTGTCAGCAGTGTCCATAACGCTTCTCAGTAACAAACGTCACAGAACATACATTTCAAACCACCAAAAAATCAGACAGTCAAAGATCTTGTAAATGAGACAGCCATTGTTGTAATAGAAAGAGCATTTTGGAGTAACACCACCCCCAAGACAGCATTTCCTTTTTTAAGTGACACAAACTTTCCTTTCTACTTATCTTAGCATTAGCACCATGAGTAAAACTGTCCTTTATTTTATTTATACTTAAAAAAAAAAAACCTACTTATATGATATTTTAGAAAAATATCACATATTTATCACATGCTTAATCATTCCAGTGAAGGTATACAAAATTCCCCAATTACAGGTATATTCTTGATATTTTACATTATCTTCAGGTATGAAGTTTCAAAGTTTAAAAACACACATTATAACCATAGACATTATTCAAGAGTTTGGGAAAGTAATTTGTTATATATTATAAGGGCTTCAGATTGTTATTCTTATATTAATACCCAGAAAAAAAACAAACCATTGTTCAAAAATATTCTAAATTGAAAGCCACGAAGTCCGTAAAAATGAAACGTTAGACATCAGGACGGCATGTGCATGCACCTAGACTTCACCTTGGAATTAAAAAGAGGATGAAATACAAAATGGACTTGTGAAAGTTAAAGTTTTGGCTGTTTACCCACCGAGGCCAACAAGAAAAGTTCCATTGAGAGCACATCCTGACCCCCTACAAGCTCATACCAGCAACCTTTTTGGTAGAAGAAAAGGAGTCAAGGGAAACACTCACAGCCTTGGTTTTAAAGAACAGCCTGAAAATGACCTGGGTTGATATTTTCCTCTGTCATTTAAAATAAATTATGTAACTTTTTAAAGTTACAAGTCTTTCTCTCTTCCTTCCCCCTATATATATATGTATTTAAAGAGGGAGAGGGAGAGAGAGGTTACTGAGAATTGCTTAAAAGGCCAAAGCCTTAGGAAGTTTATCACGGGGAATAGTGCTTTACAGTATAACCTAGTTCAGGGCCTTTTTTTGTAGCTATACAGAATGGCAAAATCAAACCATGGATGTTTTAACAGTTGATTTCCACTCTTAATTCTAGCCAATCTGTGACTCAGTGACCAGCAAGGAGAATTTAATTTCTCATAGCAGGTATGTAGAGGTATAGAATATTAACAATTAAGAGAGATACCTATTGTCCCACTCTAACCAAATAAAAGATGACTGTCATATCAGTCAGTAAATTAATGCAAGTTAGAAGAGAAGACATTTTTTAGTCCCATGTTAAAGCCAAGTGACAGTATTGTGAGGGAGAAAGTGTAAGGAAGCATTTAAATTTATTATACTGATTATAAAGATGTTCAACATACAACATTAATATAATTTAGCTCATACACTTGATATATAAGAACTTTTAAGCAGTAATGCATATTTGACAGTCATCTTTTGTTTGACATACACTCCTGAGATTGTACAGGTTGATGATATATCAAGCTATTTATTTAACTTAGGTTTTAATCATTTAAGAAAATGAGGTATGAACGAATGAAGTATTAATGATAAAGACCTTATTATGGTATCAAATAGAGGTGAGGTAGAATACCAGCTATTCTGGGAAAACTATAAAACTTGAGGATTAGCAACACACTCTTAGGAACTTAGTTTGGTAAATTCATTTCTTTTTAAAAAAATACAGTATGCACTTAATATTGAATTTCAACTTATTGATCTGAAGTCACATTTTCAGAAGTCATCTCAGAATTTCAGGTACTGTGTTATGTGGTTTCGTCTTCTGCAACTTCTGCTGTTTCTGGAATTCTACGTAATTTTCATGCCTGATACTTGTGCAAATAAAAATGTGGGAAAATGTGTGCATATGAACTGAAATGATTTCTGTGTTCAAGCTCCTGTGTAATTTTGCCCTGAAAATTCGGTTCAGGTGAACTCTCATTTTTCCTTCTTCATAACTAATCAGGTGAATTTCCAAACCAAAAGATCCTGTGACACTTTGACTCAGCAACTGAAGCTGTGGATAGTTAAATAAACCAAATCATGTGTCTTGCATAGTTTTTCCACCCCAGCAGTAACCAAAACCAATGCATGTTAGAGATCTGAGAAGAAGCACTCTGACAGCCTTTTCCCTAGATTTGTATTTCAGTTATTTTCCTTTAAAATCTTCTTCCCCCATCACAGTCTAGCAGACAATTGTTGTGCACAGTATCCCTAAACAACATTAATAGTATTTTCAGATAATGTGCATAGAACTTGCTTTATAAATTAATCAATTAATACATCCTGGTTTTGAAAGCTATATAAGTTATCTCATCCAGAACAACTTAATTAATTTCCAGTATCACCTATGGGAACAATTGTGCATGAGAAGAAGAATTTTCAATATGACATTAATCACAGGAACAGGACTGGATTTAGCTTTAACTCAAACTTTCCCAAAGTTCTGTGTATTATTCAAGGTACTGGGTTTTTGGTGACTTGAAAATTGTCAAATCACCTCCTTTATCTTAATGCAAGAGTGATCCTTATTTGGAAATCATTCTAGCACTTTGTTCAGAGTGAGTATAAAGTCCCACTAAAGTAACTTCCACGTCTATGCTTGGAAGTGTACAGCATCATGCTCAAGAATATTTTCCCTATGAAAACTAAACTGTGATTTTCTCCATTTCATCCTCTATATGCCTTTCTTTGATACAAGTTCATGGCAGATTTATGCTTATAGCAGTGTCTCATCCCATACTTGGAAAGATTTTGAGTCAGGATATCGGAAGGGGCGTGCTCTTCATTAGTTTAGGGCCAAATCCTCAAATCTCCCTTGTGTACAGACAAACCTGGTTACAGGGTGTGAAGCCTCAAGGGGAAGGACACCTAATATGTTCAGTTTTCTTTTAATCATATGCCATGTATCAAAGCAAACGGTGGAACTAATGAAGCCTGGTTTCCTATGAATGTGTATCTTGTGGTTGGATTCTCTAGTGTCTAGTAAGATGTGAGCGCTGATTGAAGTTTTTCCCACGGTTGGGGCATTCATAATATCTCATTGTCTCAAAGAAGTGAGCTCAAGCTTCACTCTTTCTTTCAGATGGAGTATTAATAGATTTTCCTCCTGTACTTGGCAGCCAGTTTTCATTAATCCTGTAAGAACTCCATATCTTTGAGACTTCTACACCATATCAAATTTAATTAAAATTAGCGATGGGACTCAAAGATTGTTACAGGCCAAATGCAAAAGCTAACACACAGACAGAATAACCACAAAATGCTCATTTCCTCAGGAAAGCACGTTAAAAAGGGATTCTACCTGAGCTGAGATTTCGGAAAACAATATAAAGATCTTCGGATCTGTCTCTCTACTAAGACATAGTACATTATGAATGAAAGCACACATGAAATGTCATATGTGTATATACACACATGTATTTATATATACATTTATATACACATATGCCTCTGTGTGTGTGCATTGCAGGTATCTGTACACACATTTTCATTCTTTTCCACTGAAGAAGAGCCATCTCTGGAGTACAATCTTAGAATACTACTAGGAACATTGCACAGTTATGAAAGGATGCAAATAACACTTTACACAATCAGCAAGGTTAAATACAGTTGTGCACTCGTTTTCAGCAACATTCTTTCTAGGGAGAGTCCTATGAGAAGGGATGAATGCATCAAAAAAAAATCTTTCACCTACATTCAATATATCAGGTGGTATTCAAAGACCAAACCCTGACAGCTTCTCTTAGTGAAAGCTCTTACTGGAGTCAGGAGGAGCTTTGACCGACCCACAACCCAGCAACTTGGCATTAACAGGAGGTCATTTGCTCTGTTCTTCTTGTCTTCCTTGACCACCTGACCACTCAGTAAATGGCGCTAATGGAAAGAGCAAGGAGCCATGGCCTGCCCATGGAGCAAATCCAGCACTGCAGAAAAACATATTTACAAATCCTTGAACCTTGAACACTGTATAGTGCACTCTATGCAAATTATTTTATTGCACTACAGGTGTGCTCTGAAAATAAACTACTCTGATCCCGATTTCCACATTCAACCCAATGAGTCTTAACATCCAGATAATGAGTTTATCCTTTCTTTGAACCAGAATCTTTCAAGAACAGCTCGTATTAAATGACAGTAAAATGCTAAACACAGTATGAAAGGCGAGTAAGTAGTGCAGAGAAAACGAGTGAATCCTAAAGTATTACAACCAAAGTGATTGTTCTGACATTGATGTGTATGGTTGCTTATGTTACAACACTGAACTGAACCAAGGGTCTCATTAATCACAAATATGAGGGGGTGTGGAGCCCATAGGGGAAGGGGGCCTACAGATTTCTCGTTTGTAAAGCAATGCACTCTATGCAAAACACAAAAAAAGATGTCTAATGCAAAACTG